TTTTTTTTTTTGATACTGATAACGCATTTTTTTTTGCCTATGCGTTTATAGGAAATGAAAAAAAATATTATCGATTGCACAAGATCACGAATCTGAACGCGTTCTGATGATGACCTGTTACGATATGTTACCAAGTTGACTTGGCTACGATCGAAATAAAACAAAATCTTATACAGTTGAACCTCGCATAACGAGCATTTCGCTTAACGAGCAAAATTAATTGTAAGAAAAATGACTCGCTTAACGAACGACGTTTTGCATAACGAGTGACGATGAGAAGAGAAGTATGCCTTCTACATCATTTTTAAAACTTGTGTACACATATTATGTGTATTTTTGAATATGTTTCACTATACCAGTAATTTTGGTATGGATTAAACTCGTTAAACGAGTTTCTACTGTGCACACATTGTTTACTGGATAATTGTAATAATAAAATTGTAATTATAATTGTGAAAACAGTCAATTAATCGAAAATGTCTTAATTAATATATCAGAATTAAACTTAAATTGATGATTAAATTCAGTCAATTATTCGATAATTAATTAGCAAAGAAGAAAAATGATAAGTTAACGTCAATTTCCACTGTTTAATTGCACTAATTAGTTTCATACAGAAATAGATATGTTAACTAACGTTAAAAACATACAAAAAAAATAATGATTGTTTACGTGAAATGTAAGTTTTATACTTATTATAAATTGATCAATTAAAAAACAAAAATTAATCAAAAATTAAGAAATTTTGTTAAAACTTTTTGATAATAGTCAATTTCTCAAAATGAATGCACTTTTTGTAAGGTAAAGTTATCTAATTAACAACTCACTTTATTCGCTTTTGATTGTACTTCGTTGGGGTTCTGAACGAAACTGAATGCAGTGGCGACAAGGAGCGCGCTTTTATTGTGATGTAGATGAACGCCAAAAACGAGGTGCAAAAACAATATTTGTTGATATTCGGGATCTGTAATCATCATTTATTCTAAAATAGAAGCATTTTGGAATAAATGATGATTATAAGCCGATAGCACTTGAGACAGTTCGACATTATCTTATTCAATAAAAAAAAAGGAAATTTCAAAGGTCGGGAATATTATTATGCACAGATTGTTAAATCCCAAAAGGACATTTAAACATCTTATTTTGTTGATGTTTCTTTTTTAATTATATTTTTTTTTAGTAAATTAATTAGACTTGGAATATTGTTATCAGACTTTGGATTTGATGAGTATTTACTAGTTTTTTCTGTCTTTATTACCTGTATCGAATACAAAGTGCAAATTGCTTATTGAACATAGAAATAATAGACAGATTAGAGTTTTAAAAGTATAAGAAAGATAAGCGCTCCAACATTGTAAAAAAAAATAAATCGAAGACATAGAACAAGTAAAAACCCGCTCAAAATACCAGTTCCAAGGAGCGTGCCAAAAGAACCGAAGCTGTAAAAAAATTGTAAATAAACAAAATGGTAAAAAATAGAGGTTAATTAAAGAAGTTGATCAAAAAAATTCATTCAAAAAAAAAAAAATGTTTTGCGTCAAATTATGTATTCATTCATTAATTAGTCAATCATCAATGTTTTTATATATTTCATTCAAATATTTTTAATTATGATTAGAAAACAAAAAAATTCAAAAACATCATTATGCAGGTAACTTGATTTATTCAGCAAATTTTAACCCTGAACAAACAAACAAACAAAAATTGACATTTTATTTTCGCAAATACTTCAAGATGTAAATGATAATAAAATAAAATCCAGATATCAATGTAGAGACAGTTTGGCATTATCTTGTTTCATAAGAAAAGTAAACGCCAAAGGTCGATAATGTGTGTAATGCGTTAATTTTAAATATTGCAACAATATCTAAGTATGAACATGAAAATCGGATGATTTGGGTTGAGATTCAGACGGAATTTGTTGTTGCCGTGTCTCTCCTTTATCGAATAACAAATTTTGTTATTAATTAAAGGATATATTTCGCAATTCTTTACTTTAATTGTCAATTTAATTAAACTAAATGTTCTGTAAGCAATTGAAAAAAATAGTGAAAATTTGGACTTTAATTTACTTAGAACATTCTGGATAATCTTATTTGTTTTTAAATAATTGAATATGAATGTTTCCGTTGCCTGACTACGCGGATATAAAATACAAAGTGCAACCGGCGAATAAAGTCTATGAATCATATGGCGATTACAGTAGAAAAGTTTTGAAAATATTATTTTATTGTAATGAATAAATTCAACGTAATGAATCAAATGAATAAATTGATAGAAATATTGGAAATAGATAGGATTTAGAAGATTATTAAATTTAAATTGAAAAGACTGAAAATTTCGTAATAAATGTAGTAATTTCAAAATATGTAAATAAACAATTTTAATCTAGTAAATAACATTTCATCACTTGATTCATACATTTCATCATTTCTATGTTATAAAATCTAAGGCATTTAAATATTATGAATCGTTGATACATGATTTATTATATCTTAATTTTGTTAAAGTTTACCATTTGATTTATGTCTTTAAATTTTATAAACTTAATTTCATCTTTAACAAATTCTTAATCAGTGGCATTCGCAAGCCCGACTACCGAAATCCCATCTATCGAAATCCCGAAGTTCAAAATCCCGACAATCGAAATCTCGGCTGGCTCAAAATCCCGACTATATCGAAATATTGACATTGTCTTTTATTATTATATATTTCTACAATAACATTTTTATGGTAGTCAGGATTTCGATATAGTCGGGATTTTGATTGTCGGGATTATGGTAGTCGGCATTTTGATATAGTCGGGATTTCGAACGTCAGGATTTCAATAGATTGTAAGCCTAATTGTAAACTTGCACACTAAATCCATTGTATAATCATTTATTATAGGCTACCCACAACTCAAATTCACTAAAGTTTACTTTTATTTTAACACATAGATCAAACGTTTTTAATTGACATTTAATTTATTTCAATTTATTGAAACAATTTAATAACAAATTCTTTAAACATAAAAGTTTTAATTTTAAGAATTGAATTATATGTTAATTGTGATTGTGTTTATTTATCACAATTAACAAATCCGTACTTTAAGAATTAGAAATAAGTATCTTAACTTTATCACTATTGTGATTTTTCTGTTTCTGGAAGAGCTTTACTGCATGTAGAAGATCAAATCAGTTCTTCATGTTAACAATTTGATGATGTATATGAGGTAGCCTATAACGAATCATATGTTGGCAATAGTGATAATTTAAAATTTTCAACAAAGCGTACCAAAATTGAACGGCTGTTAAAAGTCGTGCGTGAAATAAAGAAGCCCATGTTTGTGGATGCTGCAGAATGTTGTGATTTGTGAAATATTTATCTTTGGCGCATAAACTTCTTCGATACCGCAGAAAAGGTTCACCCGGAGAGCTGAATTAAAGAGATCAAGATGTCGTTCAGTTTTGGAAATACGACGCAAAACACGTTCGGAGCAGCGGCAAAACGTAAGAACGCTTTGGATAGGTTATGTTTTTGTTATAAATGTCATTGTGTTTTTTTTATGTTATTGTATATTGTAATTTTAGGTATTTCTAATTCGTTGTTAGATTCATTGGATTGTTCTTCATTGTTACAGAATTACAAATTTATTATTTTTTTGATGTTTCAATATTATGAAACATGTCATTAGTTAAAATTGCAAAGCACACTTTAATTCTTAATTAACATTGGAATTAAAGTCTTTTGTATCATTATAACAACAAATTGTTATATAATTGAGAAGATAGATACAAATTTGGCAGTTGCCAAACTAATTTAACAGAGAGAATAAATTTGAAAGATTTTGTTGCACTTTGAGTTTCATCTTTTATATAAGTTTCATAAATTTGCTTATCAATTTTGTACTTTCAGGAAGTAATATCATTGTTTGTGACAATACATACTTCCATAGAAAACTTCTGTTTTCTGAGAATTTCACTGGTAGAAATAAGTTACTTCAATTCATATCATTGAATCTTAATTTTAGTGGTAGAAAATTAATTTAATAACTAGATATAAATACAAAGTAACTTTTAAATATAATATATAACATAGGAATATATAAGGTTAACATTAGTAATAAATAAATAGAGTGTCAGACACACTTGAAGTGTTAGAATTTATAGCCGGACTTGTCATAATCCATGGCGAGCTCGACTTCATCGGCACCCTTATTATGCTGTTCCTGTTGTTCGACGGATCGGGAATGACTGCTCACGTGCGACTGCATCTGCATCGAATACAGATTCGACCGTTTGTAAGAGATGTAGATCATCAGAAGTATCAATCCGATGGCAAACAATATACCCAATATGACACCGAGGATGATGTACAGCGTTGTATTCTCATCATCGTAATTGGCTGCATGATGGTGTATCATCGTCAGATTGTATTCCTCCTCGCTGTTGCCCATCCAATCAATTAACTGCGTCGTTGCGGAGGTAACAAGACTGTCGGAATTGTCGATGGCTTCGGTGACAACCTCAGCGACGCTCGAATTCACCATCGCATCAATCACCGAGGAGTTGTTCAACATTTCCGTAACGGTTGCACTCGTTTGTATCTCCACCGAAGCCATCGTCGTAACGATCGCACTCTCCATCTTCGTCGTAATCGCACTTTCAGTGACCGCTGGAATTTCTTCGGTGGTGAAGCTTTGAATCACATCCGTCACCACATCTTTCACCGATTGAATCACTTGATCGATGTTCTGTTGGTCATCCTCGACCTGCTGCGACGGAAAGACGAACTGCGGACGGTTGGACATCATCTAAAGAAAAATAACATGATTAAGATACTAATAATATAGTTTAGTTTGTTTTTATTTTACCTTATGGTAGTCGTAATCGTAACCCATGGTGACTTCACTTAACTTAACACAAGGGAAGTTATTCACTAAAACTCTCGAACAGAAATGACTCGAAAGTCGAATCGCGTCTAATATTTATGCTTCCGTGTTATCATGCATTACATCACTCGAGGAATACCCAGAGATTTCGTTCCGTGAATATTGTGGTTTCGTTATTTCCTGTTAAAGAATATGAATGGAAAGACGTTCGACTTTTGATAACGTTTATATGTATTTCTTTCAGGTCTGATAACAAGCGGGAATTTCTATTTACACTTTTTTGCAATTTCTGTTTTTAGCGACGGGATTCGGGGCTCCGATGTTTGGGGCCGCGTCAACGGCCACCACGGCCCCTTCCACGAGCTTCGGCTTTGGTTCGTCAACTTTTGGTGCCGCTGCCCCAACTGCAAATGCCAGCTTTGGGGCGAACACCACCGCTCCGGCCTTTGGAACTTCTTTCGGAATGCCTGCGAAGAGCGCAGCGAATACCACCTTTGGTGGATTCGGCGGGTCCACCACCTTTGGGGCTCCTGCTTCCACGGCTCCGAATTTATTTGGAGCCGCAGCTACGAATAAACCCACACTGTTTGGGGCCACGTCCACACCTAGTCTCTTTTCGACGCAAACCCCAACAACCCCATCGTTGTTTGGGGCTGCGACCACGACGACGCAAGCACCCACTTTGTTTGGGGCTTCGACCACTACGACACCTAGTTTATTTGGTAGTACGGCCACATCGACGCCGAGCCTCTTTGGAAGCAGCTTTGGGGCGACAGCTACAACGGCTGCAGCACCTAGTTTATTCGGAAATACGGCAACCCCTGCCTCCGGAGGATTCAGTCTCTTCGGTAATACAGCCACCACGACGTCTGCGCCTCTTTTCGGAAGCTTTGGCACGAATACAGCCACCAACACTTTTGGAAACACTGGTACCGGCTTCAATTTTGGCGGTTCGAATTCTTTGTTTGGAGCCAAACCCGGTGCACAACAACAGCAACCGAATCAAACTCAACAATCAGGTAAAACTAATTAAAATCAAATGATCTGCCGTTAGATCGCTGTATTCATGACTATACGCAGGGTTGTATTAGATGGATTTTGTTATTGATTAATCATTTTTGATTAATTTTAGCCACTGACATGAAAACTCAACAAACATTGGCTTCGTTCTATGCGATCAACGTATTTGGGGATGAGCGGGACGACATCCTGAAGAAGTGGAACATGCTCCAAGCCTCCTGGGGTACCGGCAAAGGTTTCTACAATTCTGCCCAGCAGCCCGTCGAATACGACAACTGCAATCTGTTCTATAGATTCAAAGCCATTAGTTATTTCGTCATCCCTCAGATGGACAATGCCGACGGGTTAGTCAAGCTGGTCTTCAACAAGAAAGAATCAGAGCTATCGTAAGTTCCGATTCGGTTGTTTAATTTGAGTTGTAAATTGAATTTCAATTGAATGACTGTTTCAGGGCTCAAAAGGCAACAATCATAAGCGGTTTTAATGGAATCCTTGGGAATAAGCCGAACCTCACAGTGAATATAGTTCACGTGAAGGCTGTGTCCGACACAGAATCGGAAGTGATGATTACTGTTAGCGAAAAAGGGGTCACGGGCACCAGCAGGAAAATCCATGCCACAGATTTGGCGGCATTCTTGAATCAGCCCACCCAAAAGCAGCAGTTGGCAGGTGCTGGCGTCACCTACGTTGGGGCTTACATGATGCCATCGAAGGCCCAACTTGCAGAATACCTTAAAGAACCACCACCAGGTAATTATACTTGATGCGAATGCAAATTCGTAATTAACAAAAACTACAATGGATGTGAACATCCGTGGCCGTGCGGTCACTTAGTCAGCGGATAGAAGGAAATATGTTTCCAGCGAAACACGCAATTGAGAAACATTGTCTGTTTACATTGGGAAATATTATGAGTATGACACTTATTAGTTTTGGAGAAGACTTGAAGGCGAAATAGATGATAAATCAAGTGGGACGCGGGGTTTTCAGACGTATACGTCAACGTCTGAAATGTTTCTTATTTCTAAAAATGGAACGTTTTACCACTAATTACTCATATAGTTTTTGTTAAAGTGTAAATGCAGTAATAATCAGAATATTACTAATTAAAACAAATTGAACAGGACAGTTGCAATTCAATAATATCAATTTAGCTCATAAGGAATTGCAATTAACAATCAATTAATTTTGTTCAGGTATTGATGCACAATTATGGAAAGCTGCGCAAATCGACAACCCGAATCCTCAGAAGTATTTGCCGACACCTCTGTCGGGATTCTCCAATTTGAAGAAGCGCATGCTTTGCGAGGAGTTCGAGACTGGATTACATCGCGCCTTCCTCGACAAAGTTCACAAGGATATAATTGAATTGAAGAAGAAACACGCCGCCTCCATAGCTCAGATCGCGGAGCAGAAGCAGAAATTCCTGCAGCTTCAGCACCGCGTCCTCAAGATCTTAGTTAAGCAGGAGAGCACCAGGAACCTGGGTTTGGCACTGCAGCCTCAAGAGGAGTTGCTCAAGGCCAGGCTGGAGTCGATGAATTTGCAGTTGAATATGCCCACGCAATTCAGGGTAATTTTGTTGCTGATTTCTTTTTTTCCGAAAATATTCTATTGTATAACTTATTTCAGGGGAAAATTAACGAGCTGATGAGCACGACCAAAGTGAAGAACGTGTTCGACGGTTGCAAAAGCGAGACGTACGTGCTCGATCCTAAGGTGCAGGAGGATGTCAAGCAGTTTTTGACGATGGAACAGAACGGAATCACGCATCTGATTAGCATTATCAACGAGGATTTGAAGGACCTGAAGGTCATCACCGGCGGAATGAATGAGATACTGATGCGGAATAAATGATTGTCTATTGTTTGTCTTAATTTATATTGGTTTCTTGTTTTTTCGGCTTTGCCAACAATTATGAATACGTCTGTGGTTATGCAACAGAACGAGCAGCCTGCATCACGGTGCTCTTTTACAATAAAGATATTTTTTATTACTTAAGTTTGAAATGCACATTAAAATGCGGTGCTTCGTTTAAACTATTCCGAAATATATTTAAATACGTTGAATTATCATTCTATTGTTTATAGCCCACTAATTTTATCTTTAAATACAACAATAGACTAGGTTTTATGAAACAATTGTTGCAATAATAAAAATGCGCAGATGTGTTGAACTAATGGACAAGTTAGGATTGTATTACAGGAATAATGGAGTAGTAATATTCAGTCATTATAATTTAATGTAAGTATTGAACAACATTACTAAGAATATGCAACCAATGTAGCTTCAATTCAAGTGTTTGTTTTTATTTAATCTAATGATTAAGTAAATATAAACTATTCTCGCATAGTTTCGTGATAACTGTTGCGTAACGCGAATTTCGTGCTTTTCATAACGGCAAACACAAGTTGCATCATTCATTCTTTTTGTTTTTAATAATTTTCCTTATTTACATATTAATTATAAATAGATCCTATATATACAAAGTACTCTCTACATATCACAATTAGATTGCTTCTCTTCTTCGTCTCTTTCTTTTTTTTTGATTATAATCTCTTTCCTGCATAATAACACTAAAAAAACACACGCAAAATATGATGAAAATAAGTTATAATACTGGATGAGGGGTGGAGGATGTGAGAGGATTTGAAGTGGGTTTGGGGATGATTATGATTGATTGTTTTCTGTTTGTGAAATGAAATTAATGTTTTATGCTGAGATCTAATGGGCCGTCGATGTTTGTTTGCAGATCGTACGGCGTGAAGATTTTGATTTTGTTCCATTGCATTTCACCGGATTCTTGGAAGTTGTTCATGAATGCGCCCAAGTTTATAAGCTCGGCGGCTCGCGACAAACAGTTCGAGATGTAACAGTTGTGCGAGCAGTCGCAGTTCTTTTTGGTTTCCGTTTGTTTGATCGTCTTGGTTTCACCTACGAAGTGTTTGTAGGTCTTCACGTGTTTCCGGAGGCTGCTGGGATCCGTGTAGCGCTTCGGACAACCGGGTACCTTGCACTGGTATGGTTTGTCCACCTGATGGGTGCGCGTATGCTTGAAGCGATCGCTGGAATTCGAATAGGCCTTATTGCATCCGACGACTGGACATACGTAGGGCTTTTCGCCGCTGTGCGATCGAGTGTGGATCTTCAAGTTCTCCGCTCGAGAGAAAGACTTTTCGCATTGGAAGCACTGGTGCGGTTTCTCGTTTGTGTGCGTTCTAACATGGACCAACATCTTATATCTGAAGAAAATTTGATTAATTATGTTGTTCTGATTGATTTAGTTATATGTAATTACCTCGCATTGAAACCTCTGTTGTTCCTGGTGCAACCTTCCCATCCGCAGTAGAAGAGCCCTCCTGGGCCGCTCGCAGCGTGTACATTGCTGACGTGCGTGGCGAGTTGATCCAGACTATCGAATTTGATGCCGCAAGATCTCCAGCAACATTGGACCTCGTTCTTCCTGCGGGTTTCGAACTGGTTTATCTCGACGCTCGATATAGAATTCTCGCTGTCGCTCTAATAAAAAATAAAGTTAGTATATCTTCGATACAAAGCAGTTGAGATTATCCTTACTTGTACACTGTTCGGCGATTGCGGAATCATCAGGTCATCTGCCATGCTAGGCGTTTCGAAGAGGTTGAGGTGTTGGAAATTGGGCGGGCTGAAGTTGTAGTACAGCGGACTGCCGACAATCATCCTGTGATCATAGAAAATCATCTTTTTTTCAGTTACGTTTAGTGCGGATCGTCCGTGAGCGTTCACTCGTTGGACAAGACTAATGTTGTTGTGTTGTGATAATATTGGCGATGTGATGATGAGGGTGGGCCCCACAGGGTTTGGTGGGGATAGGTCAAAGTGTCTGAAGACCACTGGGAAACTGGTAAAATCCAGTTCGGATCTTTTACAGCGCGGGATCACCAGCAGATAACTACACTCCGCTTGACCCCAAGAGAACTGGATCCGAGTGGAACACTAATCTTATCACCTCTCCTTCCTTCGATAGTTCCATAATAACAATGCAGACGGACGCAGAAGGAGCATAAGCAGCAGCAACAGCAGCCAATGATCGGGGAGAAAAATTGTACGGATTGGGCGGGAATTTGGACAACCTCCACCTGTAGTATCCCCGCCAGAGCAGACTAGGCGTGTGCTCGCTCTCATCAAAAAAAAAAAACATCTTATCTAATCAGGGATCATGGATGGATGTAGGTGTCTGTCTGGTGGATGAACGATACTCGTCTGCTGGGTATCCTACTTTTTTTTTTGTCGCTTCACGATACAAAGTGCACATAGTCAATGAGACCCGTATTATCAACAAATATTTATTTTCGTTGTCGCATTTTGCCGCAGGTTAATTTTAAATGCAGACACCTCTTTATCTTGTTTGCAAATCGTTCATCCGACCAGCAAACACAGACTGCTGCTGTTGCTTCCAATTATTTATAAACATATGCGTTATTACGTCAATTAGCACAGTAAATCTACCAAATTCAATTCATAAACAATCCAATTTTGCAATTATTATAATGATATTATTCGCACAATCGCCTATTATCTTATCCCAATTATAATTATATAACGAATACTGTAACTTTTTTGATGATTCAAATAAGACTACATTCAAATTGATGATTAAGCGTTCCAGTGGTAACAATCTTGGAAAGTTTTGTTGGTTCCTACATATTATATTACTATATAAACAAGTAAAGTGGTTCAATTGGAAGTCTCCTCTACATTGTTTCATCTTAATGGTGTTTATCAAAGCCTGGCTCTTATACTTTATATTTGTTTACATATAAAAAGTGCATTAATTAAGAGATTGGACACAACACTCAATGATGATCTGACAAAGTTGAACATGAACCAAATTGAATTTTAATACCTCTAGTTAATATACATATTATATAGTAACAACAACTACAGCTCATTGTTTTATATTAAAAAATAATAAGAAAATTCTTGATTTTTCTGTTTTGTTATTATTTTTTTTGTTTTACGATCGTCGAATGAACCGCGACTCTTTCAATACTCTTAATTTCTTTGCATTTGAAGTCGTTGAACTATAGAAACCGTGAATGGAATGTCATTGATAAGTGTATTAATATGAAGAATTGATATAATAAGTTATTTTCTACGAAGATAGAAAAGAAAACTTGTATTAACAAACTTGTATTTAGTGTTTGAGAAATTGAAGAGAGAATTGTTTATGCGTCGAGTCGTCGTTGGAATTACATGAAAATTTGTTTCGAACATCTATAAACGTTTATCATCTGTTTAAAACAAAACAGACCGAGAGCGAAAAACCAGTCGAAACTAGTTATTCAGAAGATTGTTTTCGTGTGAAGGTTTATCGCGACCTCCTGCAAAGCAAAGCACAGCACCGAAAATAACAAGTATAAATAATACAAAATAAAATAAAAATTGAAGCAGACCAAAACAACAACCAGATTTTCTGGAGGTCAGAAAGGCGCTGGTTTCGAAACGTTCAGTGTGTGTGTATGCATGCAATCATCCACTACAGTTTCGGGAACGACTTGCAGGATGGATTGTAGGAAATGTGTGTGTTTTTTTTTGTTGGCGAGGCCGAGAGATGATGCAGAGAAGTAGGAGAGGCGGATTTCTTGACACTTGGCCTCAGAGTTATCAGAATTTTGCACTTGACTGGCTCCGCGAGCGATCGCTGAACAGAAAACATAGGCACGCTCGAAAAAGATCAGAAGAAGGATCCCATTGAGGGGGGGTCCGGTCATCGTAATCTATGTGCAAGAACATTGCTGGTGCGATGCATATGATGATGATACGAGTGTGTTCCTCCGTCGCAACTCTTTACCTCCCGGAGAGGAAGAATATTAATACTACATTATTCTCATACTACCTGTGTGGTATGTCTAAGAGGTGGCCCCCCTTCGCCGCCGGGGCCCCCCCTTTGCGCCCCCGGAGAACCGCGTCGCGCTCAATTTATTATTTAAATACATTTATATTTACAAGACTACCGCGTTTCTTTTTATTTCTCTCTCTATATCTCTATCCTTCTTCATCCACTCCCTGTGCTGCATCTTCCGGCGATGCCACCCACGGCTACGACGATTTTATTTTTAATCGATTTATCTCGCCCGTCTACACGCGCATCTTTTTTTTTTCTCTCTCTCCTCGAAGCCGCCGGTGACGCAAATCGCGTTTTATTTTTAATTAAATTTTGTTACTCTGTGGAATCCGCACCTTCGAAATCTTCCTGGTTTTGTGTAATTCGCATTGCACGCAACCTTTGTTCTCCGTGTTTTTGTTGATGTCTGTCTGGATAATATGTGTCGCACACGTTTGCCAGTACATGCGTGAACGCCAATTGTTATCTCGTCCTTGAAGGTCCTCGCACCGCCCAGACAGCATTTACACTATTTACCGAACCCGAGGATTACTTGCTGACTGATATCCCAAATTTACAATATTTTTTTTTTAATTGTCATTTCTGACATAACTTCAGATTACATAAAGACAATTTCTATAAAAATTGAGTCAATTTGCTAAACTAAGATTTGCCAAATCGCGAATACGTGCTTATCCTTATTCGACACGGCGCGACCTCGTGCTTGATGGCAAGTTAGAAGATATACCTCCTAACAAATGTAAACAAGACGTGCCCTTTGACATTTGTCAAAATTTATATTATAATCCAATTTTTTGACATAACTAAATATTGTGAAAATTTTCTTATATTTAAAAATAATTAACAAAGATTAATTGGAGGATGCGGAATAACGAAGAATACGTATATAAATAAAGTTGTCTCTTGTATTCAAGTAAAAATCATTTAGAACAAACAAGTTTTCGCATAGCTTCAATTAAATCGGAATTTTAACGACACACGCATACAAAAAAATGATTCGTGGAAACAACTTTATTGGTAGTTTTTATCAAACTTCGTTTCTGTTTTAAATTAAGTGAACTAAAGCCAACAACATGTGATTAAAATTAACTTGTTGAACCGAAACGTGGGATAATATCCATAGGGCACTTGATGTTTGACAGCTTACGAAAGTTAAGAAACATATGTCCAAGACACCACTTGAATGAATGGACTAATAGAAATTGAAAAGATCAATTTTTAAACTGTGTTAATACAAATTTGAAAGTGACTTTTGGAATCGAATCTCTGCTTGAATTGTACGAGGATTTGACGAATTAATTGAAGGCGGTGCAAGTCTCAAGGGTATAATGATTTTTTTTTTGTCTACCGCCTGTCGTCATTGTGACTTTAAAAAGGTACTTCTGATGCGTGTGAAAGCGAGACGTGCAATATTGTGTGTGAATGCGTATCATTAATTTATTACTAAATAGATCAAACTACTTATTGATTAGATACAGATGATGGGTTTTTGAATGCATATTCAAATAATAAAAATGCAGAAGATTTTGACTGATAATAGCAAGATTTGTTTATGCGTTTGTGCAAATAATATTGATTGTTTTTCAGTACGAAAACCGTTTGATAATAACCAATTACATAATTAATTAATTAACATAAAGGTGCGTACATACTGTACTTGCGTAGTTTGTATGCACTTTGTATTCAAATAATAAAAATGCAGAAGAGTTTTACCAATAATAGTAAGATTTGTTTATGCGTTTGAGCAAATAATATTGATTGTGTTTCAGTACGAAAACCGTTTGATAATAACCAATTACATAATTAATTAATTAACATAAAGGTGTGTACACACTGTACTTGCGTAGTTTGTATGCACTTTGTATTCAAATAATAAAAATGCAGAAGAGTTTTACCAATAATAGTAAGATTTGTTTATGCGTTTGAGCAAATAATATTGATTGTGTTTCAGTACGAAAACCGTTTGATAATAACCAATTACATAATTAATTAATTAACATAAAGGTGTGTACACACTGTACTTGCGTAGTTTGTATGCACTTTGTAAATGTGATGGTTCCAGAAAAAAGGCAAAGTTCGAGTATATCACCAAAAATAAAACGGATTTTGAAATAGAATATTGATTACATGATTCAAATATGGTCACCGATTTAAACTCCAAAGGTCTTGAAATAAATCCAATTTTTTTTTTTGATCATCCGATTTGGCCAAATAAAGTCCCGACTCCAAATTTGTAATCTTTGAATGAAATGAAATCAAAATATACTTTCCGTGTTTGGAAATTCCATCCTTTTGCGTGTTGATTATTATATCAGCGTTTTAATTAGTCAGTTGTTTCTCAATAAGCGAACTAATCTGCAATTAAGCAATTTTGTCTAAAAATATTAGTTCAATTATTTAGGAAGAAAAAAACGTGACCTACAGTAATTTATTGATATTGAATGAAATCGTCCAAAGTTTATGAATTTGCAAATGTTTAGATTTAGTATGAATATAATGAGAATTAAGTAGTATTTCCTAAATTTGACAAAGCGAAATGACTTATGTCATAATTTTTTTTCCATGGAAACAAGATAACTTGTTTAACTTGTCTAAGAAAACTCTTAAATTTGAAATAATCTGTCTGGCAGATAAAAAAAAACATACATAACAAAAATTTTACAATTTTAAGTGAATTGAAAATTCAATTTGAAATGTAAAATTAGTTCAAAAAGTATTTGCTATGTAATTAATTAGTATAATCTAATTGGAAATAAAAATTGAAATTTACAAACAAAAAAAATTAACTTAAAATCAAATTTATGTTTTCTTTTTGCTAAAACAAAATATATTTATAGGAATTATGTTTGTTGAAGAAGTTGATAAAATATTTTAATAATTTTTAGAATGTTGTTGTTATTGTAATTGCTGGTGATAACAAATTGATGTTTGCTTTAAATTTATTGAATGTCCGAAAACGAGAAGATGAATTGCATAATTTATTTGATAATAATAGCAATAAATCTTTTTTGGATTTTTGTTGTTGTTGTTGTAATAACTTTACTGATAAGTAATTAGTTTTTAAAATAGTGTTAAAATTCGTTGCGAATTTGGATAAAAATGTGCGTGGAGATTTGAATGTTGGGTCAAGATGGGAAAAAAGTGTAAAATTCTTACCGTGCTGGCGCGTACTGTGGCACAGTGTGGCTTTGCTTTGTGGTTAATCAAAAGGTGTCCACTTAAAAACTGAAGAGCAAAAGAGGATCAAACAACACCACTCATACACGTACACTCACACATCCAACGCACTCTCTCACACACGGTCACAATAATACCACGACGACCTACGACAGAAATTTTCTAAAACTGCTCCTCATGTCCCCTGCATACACACACACATATATACACACCATCCTCGACCACAGTGGTGTTAACTTCTTCTTCTTGTTCTTCTCTTCTTTTTTTCCTCTCCCATTCCGAATTACTACTATATATATATGTGTGTGTGTATGTGTGAGGACGAAGAAGGTGAAAGAATGGTTAAAGATGACGAAGAAAGAGACAGCGTCGTATATATATATATATATAAAATGAAAAGAAGACAAAAAAAACACATGTTATAGGCATCCGACCAGATGGTGGGTTCGGGCGGCCCATCGGGCGCAGTTTGTACACGCTGCGGACGATTGTGGGGAGGCCTATTAAAATGGACCCCATACAAAGAGATCGCCGTGATTGTAAGGTGCTGCGTTTGCCTGTCGAGGATGGGTTCGTCCTTGTCCGACACCCACATGGTCGTTGGAGGTGGGAGTGAGAGAGAAGAAAGGGCACCGGAGCGGTGATTAGCTACCATACGCACAACAACAACAGCAACAAAAAAATGTGGGCACCAGAAAAAGGGACCACAAATGGGGCCCCCAGCAACGACCGACAAAACCGCCCCCAATCCGAAAGCATGCACGCAGACCGCATCATCTCTCCACGACCCAAACCCACTCTTTAATGGATGAAGAAAGCGGACCACAGGAAAAGGGATGAAGGTCGCCGCACGCATGTTTCCCCCAATTTAAATCACATTAAATCCTTCACAGAAAGGAACGTCGAAGATTTGTGGACAGGCAACAAAAAATGATTCCTTTGAAAACATTTTTTATTGAAACGTTAACTTTTCTTCATACTCGAACCAATTGGAATTTCAGCGTACGCAAACTAGATTTTTTTTAATTAAACATATTAATTTACTAATCGAGTTCATTCAATTTCAATATACAATTATTTTATTAACTCGTTTGCAAAAATATTACACTTTAAATGAAATAAACGATTTTATCGGAGTTGAAAGTAGATTTTTTTTTTTTTTTTTTAAAGAGATTTATATCAATTTATTTATTGATATAAATCTCTCCGGCCCTATTTCTACCCCTTTCGGGTTTAACAGCCACCACAAATTTTTGTTGATTTTCGGAATTGAACCAACGACCTTTCGTATCAGATGTTCGTGATACAGGCGACCATATGAAAGTAGATTAATATTGTTTAATTATTATGAAATATAAAAGAAACAATACAAATTTAATTTAATTAAAACGCCACCTTACGTCCAAATATACAACAACAAAAGTTTATTCTCATTAGTAAGTAAAACTGTGTTGTTCTTAGTTAGATGGCGCCATGTGCTAAGATGAAAGTTCAAATTGGAATTTGAAAGTTTAATTTTAATTATATTATAGGGAAATCGAATTATTTTATTTATGAATTAATATTAGAAATGTATTTAATTTTAATCCCATAGATAAACCAGCGTATGGTAAATCTAGTGGATGAGATCCGTAGCATATTCTGTAAGAAACAGGTGCAACCTCGCGAAGGTTAAATGCGAAACGGTCTTGCATCAATTCAGAGGCTATGTTTTGCGCTTGAATTGATACCTGGTTATAATCTTCGAGAGAAGATGATATACCTTTAGCACCTAGACATGCGGCCACGTGGAAGCCGCTGCTCTCACTCACAGCAAATGAGAGCAAACGCGCG